CCTAATTCCAGTAATTAACTATCTATCTGTATATTAAACAAATCATTTCCTTAAGCTGTTTCTTAAAGCATTTTTAAAAAGAGAGAAAGTCACCACTTTACCCAATCTTTGAGAACATCTCACGAAACTGAAGAGTTTAGAGAATAGTCCATCTATTTTTCTGATAAGATCACTCTAATTATAGTAATCTAATGATTAAGTACTTTTTTAACCTTTAATCAAGAATTATTTGCAGAGGTGAGCACTTGGGTAGGCCTGAAAAGCTTAGTGTTATGTAACAAAGAGGCTAACCAACCTATGATTTTCCTCTAGCTTTCAAGTAGAAATGTTTTCATCTTTGTTCAAAATAGTTCCAAAACAGTTCTGGATTGAGGCAATGTGAACTTGTAAGCACAAGAGCTGAGCTGACCAACATATCAAGAAGAATCCAAGTCCTTTTTACACCCAGCTACAAAAGTTGCTATTTTTAGTAGTTCATCGAAACCTTCCACTTAAATAGGCATACTTGTACATAACCTCCCTCCATAAATATGCACCTTATTTCTAGCACATATTACCTTGAAAATGACTGTGTTTTTGTTTTACAAAGATCTACTTTGCTAAAGAGCAGGCAGGTGTCAAATGAGCCCCTGACCCTTCCAGACCCCAAAGCAGATACAAAGAATCAAGATCCCAGAGTACAAGCCTCTTGCAGGGAAAGTTCTAAAAATAGCACTTGGCAGGATGCTCAGTTCTTCCATTCTTAAAATTGTATTTGATTCTTAAGCAAAACTCGCCTAACCTGAGTTCTAGTTATCAACACTTAGGCAAGTGGTAAACGTTTTCTATAAAATGAAAACGGAGCGTTCATAGGTGGGTACAGGTGTGTGACGCCCACATACTGCAATAAATCTCTAATGCTGTCTCTAGTGCATACTACATCTGTTAATAAACTATCGTTTAAATAATTTTTCACTAAAGTTAGGTCAAATAAGTATTTTTATAGAAAACAGGGCAGTAACATTTTATGACTTGGGTTTGCAGATCGCCTGTTACTCTGACCTTCACATCTCTGTCAGTTTTCTCAAAACCTATATGACTTAAGGACACTAAAACACACCCTAAAAATTTTAAGAAAGCACACACAGAAAGCTTCAGTACTGATCAAACAAAGCCTTGACCCTGAGTAAACCTTGGTTTTAAAGCTCCCCATCCTCTGCATGTTTTGAGAAACATCCAGAAGCCTGGTGTTTCAGCTGATTGTAGAAACCGCAGCAGTAAAAACTCCAAGTGCTCATCTTAAATTAGGACTCACAGTGCTGCGTGTGAGATCTATGTATTTATATTATTTTTTATGACATTCGGAAGTTCTGTTGGTTGGTTTGATGTTACTCTGCTAATAAAACAGGGCGAAAAGCCTGGAAAACAAAAGTTATTTATTGGAAATTCTCATGTCAAAACTTGAAGTAATTGGTTTGTTCTAGCCCACATGATTCAATATTCTGAATTCCCTAACTACCTGCTCCCAGGGCTATCTGCATTTCTAAATTCGTTTTCTGTTGCCAACACATACCAACCTAGTGATTGAAAATGGCAGCTGAAGTGCTTCAACTGCACGTTAATTTTTCTCTAAGTAGCCCAATTTCGTCGTCTAAATTCTAAGGAATCTCATTTTCACTGCATTTTATACCTTTGGAGATTTGTCAAATTCAGGATCACATAAAATGAAGAACAATATTTTCAAGGCAATTTTTGGATGATCACTAATAGCTCTCAAGGATGGTATGTTTTCTTCCTAACACTTAGCACTCAAAGCAGAGGAGTTACGCACCACTGGAGCACAGGAGTCACAACTACAATCAATTACACCCCCTCCCCACCCCAATACTACAGTACTTCTTTGGCTAGTGAACAAAGCAGATGAACAGCTATCATAAAATGATCGCAGGGTGATGCTTTCCATTGGAAAGACACTAAAAAAAAACACATCTTGATCTGAAAACAATTACCACTCCATTAAACAAAAGACTAAAATATTTAGGCAATTAATGGTGAGTTTTTCCGCTCTGAAACTGCTACATTAGAATTCATTTCCACTATTAAAATAGAAGCTAGGAGTCCCAACCCTAAATAAATAATCCTTCCTCCAAGGTAAGAAGGTCAATTCCTGGCCAAAAGCAAACATCACAGGTAAACCAAAAAGAAAAAAAGACAAGGAAGAAGAAAAAGAAAGAAAGAAGGAAGGAAGGAAGGAAGAAAGGAAGGAAGGAAGGAAGGCAAGCAAGCCAGCTTGCAATTTTCAACCATTCTATGTTTATCTTTGAAAAAACAGTTTTAAAAAACTAAAGTGAAATAAATACAAGTAATTTTCCTCAGAAGAAAATAGTTCTCTCTTGACCTCTCTGCCCTCCACAAATGCCCCACAGACCAGTTTCTTACTTCTTTCTTCACTCAAGTTCTGGGTTGCTAAAAGAAATTCAGACAACATAGTGTTCTACAGATGCTGGAAAAAACTGAATCAAACAAATGCCGTGTTTTTCTTGAAAAACAACTTTAAGCTAAACAAAAAAGTGTCCAGTGCCTGACAAAAATTTAAAGATGAAAACAAAATGGTATCTAAACACAACTACCTCTATTTAAATAAGTCATAAAATTTGAGTCTTTGTCACTTAGAAACCTTTCCAAACTGATACTTGTATCAGAAGTTGTGTTAATAAAGCTCACATGGGCTTTTAATTTTCAACAAGCTCTACTTCCTTTTATTCCCTATTAGTTTAGCAAGTATATAAAAGTTTCCGATGTGTGTCTTATCACAAAATAGCTATTGTTGTATAGACTAATTGGAAGCCCTTCTAATTGTAATAACAGAGCAGAGTGTGTCTTAGAAAAGCTTTGGGTTAGACAGTAAGGCTTTCTCATAGTGTTCCACCAAGGGCACCCCAAAAGAAACGCAAAGGAGACTATCCTAAAACAAAAGGTCACCGTTTTTCCTAAGAACAAACCATTTATCAATAGAAAATAATTGTCTTGCCATCTGCAAGCGCTGCAGAGCTACAGACAATGTTTCTTAGCTCACATAATTACGGAACAGGGAAAGTTGGGCAGCACAGCCTGGATGCTCCTTCCAGCCTGCACCCTTTACAATTCCCACTGCCCTTTGGGCCTCGGCTTGGACGCAAAAGGAAGACAGGCTGCAGTTTTCTCAATTGAGCTGAAGCTAAGAAACCTTTGATATGCTAATCACCCCCTTCAAACGGTAAGAATTCACACTTGCATTAATTCAAACAATTTGTGCAGCATGTGAAATGGCACCTCTTTTAGAGCGGGACAACAAAAGGAACTCAGCAGCAGAGCATGCGTTCCTCGGGATTCCATCACGCACCAGTTTACTGGACGGCGGAGGGGAGAGACAAAGTTCGAAAACACACCTGAACTTAAACAGATTTTTTTCTTTTAGAAGGAGTCTCTTAAGAATTTCTAGTAAGCAGCAAAGCACACTACATTTATAGTTACCTTTGGCTAGGCTCAAGACAGTTCTATCCAACCTGGATGCTGTCACGGTCACCCCCAAAAACTTCTGTATTTCTGTGGACGAATTAGTGGTTCTTTAGCGCCCGTTTCCTAAGGTTTACCCACCACAGACCCTGACTTAGCAAGCGAACTCCCAACAGTCAATCATTGACCAAACGGGCGTGCCTTTCTTCAAGGTTGGAACTAGATAGAAGGTAGGCATCGTCAACTCGGTGGGCAGGCTCAAGACTTAGACCAGAGGGAGAAATGAATGAACCAACCATTGGGGAAAGACGCCTCTGGAAAGAAGGAGCGAGCAGGGGAACCCAGAACTGGGAAAATGCCGAGGAAAAAGCAGCGGGGGGCGGGGGGGTGGGGGGTGGGGGGGCGCTCCTTAGAAACCTGGCCTTTGTAAGGGCAACCATCTGGTTGCCGCTGAGGCTCAGGCGCGCCCAGGCTGCCTGGAGAAGCTGCTAAGCAGCCTGACACCTTTCATGAAGCAGGAGGAAAACATTTCCTCCGTCTGAACAGGAGACAGCACGGTTTGTATCTGGAGGAACGGAATCTAGGGGCCGGGAAAGGGGGAAAGAGAAAAGGAGGGGGGGGGAGTCCCCGCACGCCAGGGAAGGGCTATGATGGGCAGCGCAGGACGTTGCTTTTGGAGGACAGGCCGGACCAAGGGCTATAAACACCCAGGAAGACGCACGTGCCTCGGCCTCTGCTCAGAGACAGCCCCGCGCTCGCTAAAGCCTCCAGCGATTTCTTCTAATCCAAACCCTGCAGTTCAGCGAAGAGGAAAAAAAAAAAACTTTGCGGGTCCCAAGTGCAGGAGTCCTGCACACTCAGGGACGCCTTCTCGCTCCGGGTCGCCCTCGTCCCTGTGGTGTGGCGGAAGGTCTCGAATCCAGGAGCCCACGCCCGCGACGACCCCAAGAGTCTCCCTCCCCTCGTGCTCCTCCCACGACTTCTTCTCCCGGCTGCATTCAACCTGGGGCTCGCACACGACCCAGCAGGCTCCCCACCCCAAAGGCAGCCCGGGAGCCCACGCCCCTTAACTTCTCCTGCAGGCCCAGCGCGGCCCGCTGCTGCCCTCTCACTGCCGGTCCGGGAGCTTCTCTGCCCTGGCCCCGGCCCGCCGAGTCCCCCGACCCCGCTACCCTCCCGCCCCGTCGCCGGGCTTCCCCGGCCCCAGCAGCAGGCGCCCCTAATCGCTGCCAGCCTCAAAACCGGCGCGGCCACATCTGGCTGTGCTTTTCTCTCGTCCTCGCCTCTCCGCACCACCTGACCAACGACAAGAAACGACGGCCCGCAACAACTCATCTAAGCCCTCCCCCACCGTCCCCTTCCCAGGGACTCGCTCCCAGGGACAACCCTCGGACGAGTCCCTGCCGAGCCTGAGGCCCAACACCTGGGGCAGGACAGCCAGGCCGAAAACGCACTTCACAGTCCCCTCCCCAGCCCCGCTGCGTAAAGAACCAAGGGCACCTTCTGCTCCCCAAGCTTTTTAAGAAATGCCCCCCCCCAATAATGCAAGATTAGGCTGGAGCTGCCTCGCAAGCCCGCACCCCCCCGCCTTCTCGGTCCCCAGCAGCCAGCCTGATTCCCGAGAGCGTGACAATAGCCGCACGCGGTCCGGCGAGCGGGCTGCACCGCACAGAGTTCTGCGGATCGATGTCGGCGGGAAGGGCTGCGCACGAGTGGCCAGCGCGGGTCTGACCCGGCGACACGGTCACCTCCGAGGCGGCAGCCCCATCTGGAGGAGCCCAGCAAACAGGTCTCCGAAGTCGGGCACAGAGGCACATGGTGGGCGCTTACCTCCGTGTGCGCCCCGGGGGGGAGGGCCAATCCGGTGCGGGGAGCCGTGCGGGGACACGGGCGCTAGAGAGGGGCCGCGGCGACCGGCACGGGGGGCTCCTGCTGCTCGAGCGCGCGCGGGGAGGCGGCGGCCGCGGCTGGCGGGCCGGACACGGCGCCGCGCGGCTCCTCGGCGTGTCCTCCGGCTCGAGTCTCCACCGCCGTCAGCCGCCGAGTCCAGCCAAGCAGCCCAGCGGCCCGGGCGGCTGCCGGGGGCTTAAGTCAACATCTTCCCGCAGTTTCCCACACGCCGCTCCGCGACCCCGGTGGGGGGGCTTTGCCCACACGCGCGCGCCTACCGCCGCACGCTCCCTTCGGAGCCAAAAAAGCAAAATTCAAAACCGAGAGATGCGAGGACGCTGAGAGAGAGAGAGCGAGGCGGGCGGAGGTGCGCCGACTCGGGAGTCTCCTGGCAGCGGCGGGGGGGACGGGCGCCGGGGAGCGAGGCCAAGTCCGTCAGTCGGTCGGGAGAAGCCCGGAGTGCGCGGGCAGCGCCGGCAGGACCTGCATCCGGCGCACGCGCCGCCCCTGCGGCCTGGGGCACGACTCTGCCGCCGGCCCTTCCTCACATGTCGGGTCTCCTGGCTTGGGGGGTAGGGGGGGCTCTGCGGACGGAGGAGACGAGGAACTCGGGTTCGGGGAAAGCGACGGGAGGAGCCGGGAAGAGCCGCGCCGCCGATGCACAGCCGCCGAGGGAGGCTGGTCCCCTCAACAATCACCAAGAATCCTCCGGTAAGCTCCCGATGGCGCTCGGGCACCTCTGCGTGCGTGTGCGTGTGAGTGTGTGTGTGTGTGTGTGTGTGTGTGTGCGTGTGTGAGAGTGTGTGAGCGCGGAGAGAGTGAGGAGAGCTAGAGGAGAGCAAGGAGAGCAGGGAGCGAGAGACGGGGAGCCCGAAGTCCTGACACGGACTCAGCTAGGGCTGAACTGGAGTCACCTCCTGCCTCCTCCTCCTCCTCAGTCCCCACCCCCAGCCCCCCCACCCCAGGACTGCTAATCATATAAACATATGAGCACAGACCGCGGCGCAGCATCCGTCTCTCCCTCCCGCGTTTGCCAGCCAAGGGGCTTGTGCAAACTCCAAAGAAGACAGGCAGCTGAGTACAAAACGCGGAGCAGATAATCTAGAACTCATTGCGCCCAATGGCCATTTTCCACTCCATTGGAGCAGCTGCGGCAGCGGGGCGCCCGAGCGCAGGGCAGAAGGAGGAGGAGGAGGAGGAGCGAAGGGGGACACTTACAGGCGATCTAGCCTTTCGGGTGGCGGTGGCGACGGCCGAGCAGCCGCCCCAAGACTGGCCGGCCGGGGCTCGGCCCGGTGGGGCGGCCGCAGGGCTCTCCGGGAGGCGCTGGTGGCGGTGGCGGCAGGGGACGCGCGCGCACGGCCGCGGAACGCGCCCCAGAGGCGCCCGCGCAGGCTCGCGCCCCTCCCCTCTCCTCCCCCTGGCGATCGGCTGGCGTCCCCCCCACCCCCAGCCAGGTCGGGGGGTTCGGTATCCAGCCTTCACCCTCTGCACCCCGCCCCCCTAACTCCACTCTCGGCGAGCCCGCTGCACGCTCTAAAGCCCGCGCGCACACACGCACTTTCCAAACATCGCTTTTATTTTGGGATCCCGGTGTAGGGGATCCGGGAGAGCTCGGTGTTCTGGCCACCGGTGGCCCGGCACTGGGGCCGCTGGGGCCTGCGGCTCGGGACCCCGCTCCCTATTTCCCTCTTCCCCTCCAGGCCCAGGAGCTCACTCCTTGCCAGGACTGCGCCCGGACGCTCTGGAAGCGTCTTTTACCCACCCCGTCTCCAGGTTTTCTCTGCTCCGCGCGCCCCGAGCCGGAGGCCCCGAAACTTTTAGTTTCCGCAGCCCTCCTTTTGTGTGACTGCTCGCAGGAGAAAGGAGGTCTGTTCGCCGTGTCTGCCTCCGTCTGGCTGCGGCGCGCAGGGGACGCTCCAGGGCTAATGCGTCTTTGATACCTGAGATTTCCGGCGCGCTCGTTAACGAAAGTTACATTTTTTTTTAATTGCGATGACTTTTTCTTTGTAGTTACATAGAGCTAGCTAAACTTTGACTTTATTGACTATATTTCACAAGAGCGTTCTGTTTGTTTTTTATTAAACTCACCAGGATATGCAACGGAAGGGAAGGAGACTGCAAGGCTTTGCTTGCTAGAACATTCACAGTCCTCTTAGGTCTGTCTCCCGTTTCCATATATTGAAACCGCATAAGCTCTTGTCCTCTCGAAACACTTCCTTGTCCCTCTCTGCTGACAGTGTCAGCAAACGACAGAAACAAGCTGAAAGGACCAGACCACAACAATATCCTGCTAGGAGAAAATAAATAAAAATAAACGTTTAAAAACTGGGTAATCGTCTTCTGCCCAGGAGGTAAATAATCAAATCTGGATTTTTTTTTTTAATTACAAGATTTCTGAGAAGAAAGAAGTAAGTTTTCCATTGTATTCATAAACTACTGAGTTAATGAATTCAGCCATTTGCCTTTGAGAAACTGATTCTCCCAGATTTGAAACCTCTAAAAAACAGGATGAAACTTGAGCTTGTTTGCTTTCAGAAACAATATGTACTTTTTGTTACTGCGGGTATGTTGCAGTCACCACACTTCGGAAATCATTCCAAACAATGTTATTAAAATGTCAACAGGAGATTGCTCTGAAGACTCGAAGATGCTGAATAACAATTAGCATTTGCATTTTGTCACAGAGCCAAATATTTGCAGCAGTAAAGTCATTCAAATACTGGTCAGTTTCGTTCTTGACTGTAGAAAATCTGAAGTTAAATGTGCATATATCCAAATCACATTATCATTCTCAGATTCAAAGAAGATTCTCCTATGACCCCGTTTCTTCTACTGGATGTAGGGTGCTGATAAAATGAGCAGTCTAGAGTGCTTTGCTTTACAGTACAGATACTCTTCACTTGGAAATTCTTAGATAAATCACTTGAAATATCATCCATGCAGAGTTAAAGTAGTCTGGAAAACACACACCTATGCAGAGCTCATGCAAAACATAAGTGTGCTTACATTTTCCCACTAGTCAAAAGCTGTACAAGGAGCAGAAACCTAGAAAAGTTAAGTCCGCCTACTACAGTGGGTGAAAAGAAAGCAGACCGATGATTCTCAGACATCAAAGATCATTAATATCACATTCTCCTTTTTCAAAAAAAAATTTTATTTGTGAGTGTAAAACACAGTATGTCAATCTACTAATAATTTGCATTTGCCAAAAAAAATTAGCTCTTTCTTTTGTTCAGCTTTGAAGGTTTTCATTCATCTGGCCTGATTCACAGGAAGCCCCAGTGAGTGCACAGACCCGTCTAATCCTATTTTCTTTGGGGAAGCAAAACTTAGCCTGAAGTTTTTATTTAGTGAGCTTAGTAAGTAATCAATAGACATTTTTGCCTGAATTAAGCTGGCCATATGTTGGCTCATTTATTTAATTCTCTCAGAAAGAATCTCTGAAAGAAACCACTGTCTACATTTCATATGTCTGATACTCTTTGATGCTCAGGACATAAAGTGAGTTACTCTCCACTATGATTCTAAAGTGACAACATCACACCACACACACACACACACACACACACACACACACACACACACACACACACTTAAAAGGAGGAAAGTTTGCCAAAAGTGAGTTAAAACTCTAGGGAACATAAAATGACCATAAAAAATTTCCAATCTTGATTCAATAGGGTGTATATTCTCTACAGCTCAACAGTTCAGAAAATGTTCATCCTAAGAATGTATACTTGCTATGCCAAAACACACACACACACACACACACACACACACACACACACACACACACACATACACACACACACACAGAGACACACATCTGTAGCGATATCATTTCTCCAAGATATCTTAAATATTAAGAACTTTTAATTCTTCATTATTTAAATATCATAATAGTTCAACTTCCTGGGTATATATACAAGAAAGAATTGGTAGAGCCATCAATTCAATTTAAATGTTGAAGATTAAGCTGTTAGTCACAGCCCTGATGTTTAAAAGGAACAGTTATGTGATACACTCCACAGAACCTGGCCACATGCAGAAAACATAACTTACCTGACACTTCATGACAATTCAAAACACAACCTCTAGCAATACAGGTGTTACGGTAGTAGAAGAAAAAAAAATGAACTGAGTTGCTAAATAGTGTCTACAGATGTGCGCAATGTCAGGGGAATTGGAATATGTTACTCGTTCCTAAAATCCAATGGACAGGACACAACCAGTCAATTGATATCATTATTTAAGTAATGGCAAAGTCATTGATTTCTTCATCATACTTGCTAACTATTTTTTTTTTAAATAGATTCTACAAAGGACAAAAGAAACACCCATTTCCATTTGTTTTATGTTAAATCAACATCTAACCACTCATGGTGATTTCATTCAAAGAAAACAGAAGGAACTCATTAGTTTATGTGGTTAGAGAGATTGGTGGGCTTCAAACATTTTTACCATACATGTTTTCCCAACTGTAGAAACGCATGTTTTTAATTTAAGCAACTTCAAGAAACTAGAAATTATTTCATTCAATAGGCTCATGTATTTCTGATACTGAAATCATGTTAATTTTCAAAGCTGTTTGCCATCCATGTATATTTGTTTACGAAGAAAATGATCAGGTATTTGTCAAAATACAGTCTGAATAGTGACAATTTAGGTAACAAGTTAATGGAGAAAAATGAAAATGGACATAGTGGCAAAGTGCTGGGATTGGTATAAGCCAGTAAACCCAGCTGGTAGCTTCTTCGTTGCCCTGCTGGAGCAAACTTGAATATAAATAAACCAGGTCTACAAGAGGCTACACAGGGCTGCCATGGAGAGGAGGTGCTGGGATGTGACAGCCTAAAGACTGAACTAAAGCAGTGAAGAGAACTATCCCAGAGGGGAGGCTGTTTCTGTCATAAAGAATACATATCTAGCTGGGCCGAAGTATCTCTGTGAGTTCGAGGCCAGCCTGGTCTACATAAGGGAGTTCCGGGACAGGCTCCAAAGTTACACAGAGAAACCCTACCTAAAAAAAAAAAAAATAATACATTTTTACCTGAGAAACTGAAAAGGGTATGGAATAAACTGAGCATAGTGGTGCATGCCTTTAATCTCAGCATTTGGAATCAGAGACAGGTAGATATTTGTGAGTTCCAGTCCAGCCTGGTCTATAGAGTTCCAGGACAGCCAGAGCTACATAGTTGACCTACATAGCTACCATGTCTCAAAAACAAACAACAAACAAACAAAAAGTATGTAAAATGACTCCACTTTTTAGTTCAAAACTAGGAACAAAATTAGTTAGATTATATCCTAAATTGAACTTAGTCCTCTTTTCTTGATCACTACAATTTGATGTTGGGGGACCGGGGTGGGGGGGGGGGGATGGCTCCCTGCTCTGGAAAGCCCTCTGGCAGAATGCTCTAGAGCAGCTCAAAGCAGTGTGAGTCACAAATTTAACTAGAACTGGTGAAAAGTTGCTAGCTTTGTTTTGCTTTTTTTCTTTCTTTCTTTCTTTTTTTTTTTTTATTTTTTGCTTTGCCATGCGTGGAGGGAGCTAAAATGAAATCAAAACTCATTTTCCATGAGACCAGAAACATATGAAAACACTTGGCAAAGCCAGTAAGTTTTTAATTATTCTCTCAGCTCTCTAGGCTCAGTAAATTTTGTCCAAGAAGGCCAAACCTTACCTAAAAGAAGGCAATACAGTCTCA